AGTCTGTATTCTCCCATGATGAGGTGGTGAGATGGGCTTTTTGTACCCTTTTCTGTGACAGAAAGAATCGCTTCAAGATGGACATGGGATGAAAACACATTCCGCCACTATGCGGACCATGGACTCCATGCTGCCATTAAATATCTCCTTGAGTTACAGCATCACGGACAATTTCATGTACATGTGCATTAGTTTGCTTTATGAACTAGATACATAAAGATGAACGCAGTATCTTCTCTCAAGTATGTCATGGGGAGAACCAAAGATGTTGAGTTTGTCCTTAGCACTTATCGAATCTCAGAATCTCAAAACTGGAAAGACGTTTAGAACCACCTACTCCTTCCTCAACTGAATGCTGGCCTCGTCATTGCAATAAACCAAAAAAAACAAAAACAAAAACCAAAAAACCCAAACCCATTGCCGTCGAGTCAATTCCAACTCATAGCAACCCTATAGGACAGAGTAGAACTACCTCATAGAGTTTCCAAGGAGCAGCTGGAGGATTTGAACTGCTGACCTTTTGGTTAGCAGCCAGACTCTTAACCACTGTGCCACCAGGGCTCCCTTCACTGTAGTACCCCTACCAAATGGTCATCCAGTCTCTATGGGGACACCTTCAGTAATAGGGACTTTACTATCTCCCTTGACCATTCACTCAATTTGATCTTCTCTAATTATTAGAAATATGTATACCTTTGACCCAACAGTGTCCTGTTTAGGAAATTACTTCCAAACAAATAAGTTTTGCAAGGCACCACTATGTAGTTACCAAAATGTCATGTTCATTGACACGTGTTTTATAACGTTGTTGTTGGTAGCTGCTGTGGAGTTGACTCCAACTCATGATGACCTTATTACAACAGAACAAAACAAAAAATTTCCTGGTCCTGCATCATTCCCTCAATCACAAAAGCATATTTGAGTCCATCGTTATGGTTACTGTGTCAATCCATCTCACCGAGGGTCTCCCTGCCCCTGTTGGTTCTCTGCTTCACCACCTATCATCTCCTCCTCTAGCAATTGCTGTGTCATGATGACGTGTCCAAAGCAAGTGAGTTAGACTATATTCTGTTGTGATCCATAAGGATTTCATTGGCTTATTTTCAAAAGTAAATCACCAAACCTTTCTTCCTAGTCTGTCTTAGTCTGGACACTGCTGAAACCTGTTTATCATGGGTGACCCTGCTGGTATTTGAAATACCAATGGTATGGCTTTCAACATCATAGCAACGTGCACTAAAAACACAGATGTAAAGTGTTTTATAATAAAACACGGAAAACATGTTAAAATGGAAACAATGACCAACAAAAGATGGTTGATTAAAAAGTTATATAGTAATATTTATAATAGAATACTGGGTTAGGACAAGATAAGATATATATGAACTGAATACACACACATATTCTGACATGGAAAGATTTTCACAATATATTAACATGAAAAAAATAAATCACAAGATAGTATATTAAGTGTAATTCTGTTTTTTGCTATGTGTAATGCACAAGCACACACACAATCATATATTTATACCTACAAAATATTGTCTGGATGGATACACACGAAAGTGCTACCATGGTTGTTTCTGTGTAGTGTGATAACAGCTTTTTTATCTATAATATTTCTATAATAAGCACATACTGCTTAAGTTGTAAAAAATGTTTAAAACCTATTATAAAAGAAATTACTGTCTTCTTTGGCTCCAAAATCTGAATCCTTGTAGCTACCTTCTTTCTGGTTCTGTCTTCTTGAGTCATAGAAAAAAAAATTATTTCATTCCACATAATACCTCTAGAACTATAGGAATACACATGTTCCTACTTCACATGGTTCTCTTCTTCAGTTCTTCAAGTGTTTTTTGTATGACATACGAACATACTACAATTCAAGAGCTCTAACTGAGTAAATCTTTCCTGTGATTAATATTTAATAACAGCCTGCAATGAATCAGAAGCTATGCCAGGGAATGGTGCACGTTATATCTGGGGGCCATGGCACGTATCATAATTCTTCTCACCATGGAACTCACAACACGGCAGAGAAGATATGCATGGATTAATTACTTACCTAAAACTTTGATGATTGTTGTTATAGAAGCATTAGTGTGAGAGAAGTGTGTGCAGTGGGATAATTCTACCTTGACTAGCAGTTAAAGGGCTCAGAGAGAGGGAAATTTAAGGCTAAGACATAAAGGATGATAGGAGTTAGTCAGATAAAGGGGTTAGCTGGGGTTGGTTGAGGTACGTAGAACATTCTAGATAGAGGAAAAGTAC